CCATAGCCGCCTCCCGCAATTAGTCACTAGAACACATGGACATCAGTTCAGAATACCTCCATGAACGCTTCCCCCAAACGAAACCGGTATACATCAAACAACACCCCCGCTTCAATGGCACATTTAAACATCAAGGAAAAGCGGGGCTCCTCATAAAGAACATATACGGCACAACACAGGCCGCCCGCATTTACCACGACGGCCTCCTCAAACACCTAACCTCCCATGGCTACCAGCCTACCGAAGCCGACCCATGCCTCTTTTTCAAAAAATCAAACAAAGGCACAATACTCGTAGCAGTCAACATCAACGACTTTCTCTCTGTCGCCTCAACCCAAGCCATTCAAGACGACTTACACGCCACCCTCACGGCGAAATACAAGATCAAGCGCCTAGGCTTCCCAGCCCAATACTTGAAATGGCACATACAACGTATGCCACAAGGCGAAATACACATCACACAGCCGCAAGTAGCCACGTCAATACTCACGAAAACGGGCATGCTCGCGGCGAACCCAAAGCGCACACCACTTCCCCCCAAAGCAGCATTCACCTTCACACACGACAGCACACCACTGGAACAACATCAAGCCTTTCTGTACCGCCAAACAATAGGCGATCTGCGCTACCTAGCGGACAGCACAAGGCCAGATATACATCTAGCCGTCAGCATGCTAGCTTCGGTAATTCACAAGCCCGCGAAAGAGCACGAAGACCACCTCCAATGGCTCTTACGCTACCTCAGCGGCACAAAGGACCACGGCATCCTTTTCAAATCCGCACCCAGAACCACCTCCCCCACTCTCTGCACGTACAGCGACTCCGATTGTGCGAATGATCACGACCGCAAATCGCGAACCGGAGTCGCACACATGTTCCAAGGCGCTGCTATAAGCTGGACACCAGCCCGACAGACAGTCGTCGCGGCTTCCACGTGCGAAGCAGAGTACTTAGCCGCCACCGCCGCTACACAACAGGCCCACTGGCTCAGAAGGCTTCTCAGCGAAACATTAACGCCTGAGACTAAACCAACACCGCTCTTCGTCCACAACAAGTCTGCCATCCTTGTCGCCCAAAACTCGGCGCCCACCAAACGCCGAAAACTCATTGTTGTCAAACACCACCTCATCCACAACCACATCCAAAGAGGAAACGTCAAAATCAAACATATCCCCTCCGACGAAAACTTAGCGGACTACTTCACCAAGTCACTCGGACCCCAACGTACACGGCACCTCCTTCGTAACCTTAGCATCGTCGCCCCAAAACCCCTATTGGCGAACCCGGGGACTGTCTGACCGCACAATCACATTCGCCAATAGCCATTTTGTAGTGTCAGACCGCACAGGATAGTCTGTCCTATACAAGACATACTTAACCCACGAGCGACGACGAGTAAACGAGGAGTCATCGGTCTCCAGTTCACACACTCAAAAGGGCTTGGTGGGGTTGAGCGCAGTGCAAAAATTGCGGATGTCTGCACTACTGCCGAAAATGTCTGCACCACAGTGCAGACAATAATCAATCCAACAATTTTACTCGAACCCACTGTAATTACGATGGCTGACAGTCGCGGTGGCAGCCGGGAGACAAGCATATTGTCTCCTGGCTTACATCGTGCGGACACGCTGCCTCGTGCTGCGATATGATGCCCTCGGCAAGCCTCGGTGCTCATATCTGCACTCGGAGCGTGTCTGCACTCGTAGCCAGTAGACAACCCCTACATGTTACTGAGAGTATGTCGATGCCTCGCCCTGATGTCCAAATGCCCATGTACAGTACTTTAATGTCTATCCGATCAAGCGTTATCATAACATAAAATCTTCGAATTATATTTCTTTTCAACTTTGATGTCCACGGTTTCTATTTTTCTTTGGTAGGATGATTCCTTTTCACATACTGTACTTCTCAAGTAAGAACCGAATAGAAAGCATTCTACGCAATGCTTCTATAAAATACTACTTATGTAAAATTAGCTTTCGGAAAAATACTTACTGTGGGGCGAAATTTTCTTTTAAACACCTTTACGTGCATCAGCGAGTTTGTTTTCACTAGAATCGAGGAGCAAGTGCTTTGCAGTACAGTACCTGCATGTGGTGTGTGAGGACTACTAGCGGTCCGATAGACACTAGTGTCTATTGGACGGACGTTTTTGATCATGAGGATTTTTCCTCTCTGTCAGAGCATTAGAAAGACCCTCCTAAATACCGTACATTCTAGGTGCCTTCAAGGGACTTGGACATTGTTTTTTACTCTTACTGTTACTGTTTCGCGGTAACTATGGCTTTCAGTTCTCCCTCTTTGCGCCAGAAACGGCGCGGCAAAAAAGCCTCATATGAGGCGAAATCCTCAAATGAGGCGCATTGTCCAATAGACACTAGCAGTATCAAACTCATTGCCACTGTGCCCGTATCTACAATACCCTTGTGTTAGAAGACCTGGACTAGGTGTGCAAGTGTGAGGCCTGGTCAGAGTCCGAAGGTTGTGATCGTGCGACAATTGCGGTTGGCAGGGGAAGCACGGACGCGGGAGACTGGGACGGAGGGAACTGTGGGCCCAACGGACAGGTTGGCCAGGGGTGGTGGCGACCGTAATGGGCCTCTGGGGGACATCGGGAGCGGTGGAGAAGTGCAGCAGATAGACGGCACGCAGATAGAGGGCACGTAGATAGAGGGAAGCGAAGCAAAAGTAGACCGGTATCAGTGGGCGTGCAAGGGGCCCGCTGACAAGCCGAGGGAAGCAAAAGTAGGGGCGGTAGAAGGAGACACCGTCGGCATGAAGCGAAAGGGGTAGGGAAGATGATATTGGAGAGAAAGAAGAGGGCGCGCTTGAGGAGAGCGAGGGGGGATCGAACGGAGAGGGGACGTCAGGTGGATTCTTGAAGGGCTCGAAGAACTCAGCTCTGGGAGACGCTGCTCGAGAGTCTGCTCGAGAGTCCGCTTGAGAGTCCCCTCGAGCAGCGTCGCACAGACCTGAGTTTTGAACCCAATAAACGACGTAGCTTTCATTGTGACAAGGAGTGGTCATAACATTTGGGTACTGTACATATCCCATAATGCCGTTGATCAGGGGATACCCACGAGATACCCGCGAGACACGCCTCGTGTACAGTACACGAGTACGAATCAGCACGCCCACGATGACTTCCCCTTCCGCATTGCGCCAAATGCCCTCTGACTCAGGTGGTACCGGTACGCTTCCATCTCGCTGTCTCCGGAGAACGCGCACATATACTGGTAACAGTAAGCACAAGAGCACGACCGAAACAGGCCGCATCCCGAGAAAATTAGTTCGTGATGGAACTCGATAACATGCCTCGAAACGTTTTAGGATAAGAAAACCGGCGGTGAAGACTTTTTTATAAAAACTCTTTCCGTGGTGAAGTTGTTGCCTGTAAACTTACCCAAGAGCGTAATAATGTAGATTTGCTTCAAATCGAGGGCTTTTGCTAACTGTTCATTACTCCGTAGACCCTCCTTCCGTCATCAAGCATTCCGAGCACCTTCTCTCCATCGACTTCTCCATGCTTTCTTGCACTTCTGGTGCTATTTCTCCCATGCAGCAAGCAAAAACTGCTTGATCTCATCCAGTGTTTTGAACTGCTGATGTCCGGCGCACGTCTTTCTAACATGCATAATCCATATTTTCTCAAGTAGATTCAGGGCAAAGAATTTGGCAGACCAGTCCGTATTGGCATACTCCTCCTCCTCAACTCATTGTTCGATAGCCAGCGTTTGCCGCTCCAGGACTCTATGCTGCTGAACGACCTATCTTCCGATCGCATTTCTTCTTCGATACTTGAAGGCCAGCAAGACCCAAGCGCTCATATGTACTTCTGATAGTACATCAAGCAATCAATCACAAACTGTTCACATTTCCAACTCCCTTCAGCGACTTCCGAGGCCATCAAAATGTTCTTCTTGTGATGACGCGTCGCAAACCCCTTTGACGCATTCCGCACCTCATCGCAGTAAAATACAAATGCATGCGGCCCATCTAAGTTAAGCATCTCTTATTCTGACATGAAGTAGTTGCTCCGATCAGCGACCTTCTGCTTAATATATTTTCTTCAACTTACTTTTCTTTGCTAACAATTGACCTGGCTTCATCTCCGATGCCCGAAACTCCGCGCCCCAGCGCCCAAGTCATGCCCGCATATGCGAATATCAATAAAGCACAGATATCGACATGAACCCAGCAACAGATGCTGTACTGGGGGCAGTGTACCCATTAGTACCGCCCCGTGCGGAAGCCAAAACAACGGCGCGATTCCGAAACGACATTAGCCTGTCGCATCGTCACATCGATCTCCATTCAATCGATGATTAATATCTGCCTGTTCCGCATCGGTTCTCTGTCGTGTTTTGCAATTAGAAACGTCCGCCTTACCGACCTTTAGTGCGACAACGCGTCACACACTTGACATTATTCCGCAGCCAAACTTTCCGGTTCTCCAAACAGTTTCGGGATCTCAACTACATTCGGTTTGCTTACAGATCGGTGATTTCAAGCTTCTGCGCTGTAGCCAGGCGCCTAATCCTTTTATTCTCTGGGAGCGGAACCGTAACCCCACAACCGCGCTGCAACTACACCCTCAAAAACCCGACGCCGAACACCTTTCACGGCCTATTGGCCGTGCAAGGTGTTCAGGCGGAAAGGAACGTTGGAATAAATCTCGCTTGCATCGTTGCCTCACCCCTCACAGTCCACGTCGCTGAAACAATCGCTATGCACAGCGGCACAGGCGCTGGCAGTTGCCGACCCCCACCAAAGTCCATATTCAAATATAGGTTGACTGGCTTGCGCCAAGTTAAGTTGTTGTTTTCAAGGAAGAAGGGCGAAGCGTGAATTGAGCAAGTAAAAAAATACTGAAGACTGATTTTCTCACGTCCTTTTTACGCCAACGAATCTAAACAGAATGCAGGTGCGCCCTTGCTATTTTACCGCATGCTGCTGATGACAAAGCATGCTTTTGCTAAGCCCAATGCCCCGTTCGTGCACTAGTTCCACTTGATCTGATTGTACGGAACGGTTTTCAAAAGTCGGAAATGCGTCTTGATGCCTGAACGGAACAAGCAGTGCAAAAGTAGATTGTCGAATAGAGCTTCCCCAACGTCATGTTCGTCTACCCAAGGCCATCGGGGTGAGAAATGGAGTGGGAAATGGGGAAACAAATGAGATATTATCACAAGCCCCATGAAGGCCAAAACTACTAGGAACAACACGCGGACAACGCCTGACATGGCCACTGCCAATACAAGAACGAGTACCGGCAGTCCTACCCATATCAGAAATGAACGGGCAACATGCTCTCTCTTCATAGCTTCATACGTGAAAATGAGCTTTTCCTCTGAAATTTCTCCTTTCTGGTCGTTATCGGGGTCGACCCTGTCTCTCAGATACCACGGTGTCACACTCTTACCCCAAAGACCTGTCGCTTCAGCAACGGCTGTGACATACCCGTCGGTTGCCGTCGAAAAGCGTGATAAGTCAACTACCAACGCTCTCTTATGAGAATTGACAGGGCTAGTCAGCTCAACAGTCGAAGCCACATGCCCGCTCGGTGTCACATACAGTCGTATCTCACTTTGTCTTGTCAAAAATTCAACAATCTCTTCTCGATCTTGTATCCAGCAACTGCTTCCCACCATCCCGGTCCATTCAATCACACCGTCCCATTGCGAGCTACTCCTCCACTCCACAGATCTTTGAATGGACATATCCAAGTAGCTCTGTCCCACCAACGCCTTGCTCCGAGATACTATTGATTCCCAGAACGCAATCGTCTGAAAGCTTTCCATTCCTATCGTGAATGCTTCTTGTCGTGCCATCATCGACGGATGGGCCTTGCTGTACGCCCCCTCAGCAATCGTGCGCAGCGCCCAAGCTTTCCAGGCAGTGACACCAGCTTTTGTTCTCAAGTCTTCATTCGACTTTCGTACGCTCACTCCGTCCGTCAGAATAGCTGTCGCCGAAGCAAGAGTCGTTGACCTCACATATAGTCCCTTGCCCCCAATACAACTTACCCCATCCGCAAGCCTTTCATACACAGAGGGGCCATAGAAAAATGTTCTGTCATACTTTCGAAGCATGTAGTCGTCTACAACGAGGCCTCTGCCAGCCACTCCGAGAACTGTCTCCAACTTTCTCCAGAAATCTGTTCCATAATACACTTCCACGCCGCTGTATACACGAACAACTGGAAAAAGTGCATATGGCAGTAGTCCAAATTCCTCCCATGACGACAGGCCATACAATCGACTTTTCTCCTCTTTCTCGACACCCATCATTACAAGCCGGTCGATCCATATGCGGACGTGGCTCTTTCCTTGTGTTCTTGCCATAGCAATACAAGATCTCACGACCTGACTCCATCGGAAGTCATCCACGAAGTCTGGCTGCCTCTGCACTTTCTCTTGCATCAGTACACCTGACTCTTCATCAGGAGACCCGTCTGGTTTAAGGATCCTCATGCGTCTGTTAATGTTTTCGTCTTTTCCTTTATAAGACAACGCGACCAACAACGCATCGTCTTCCTTCTTTCCAATTAGGTCATCATTGACTCGTTGGTAAGCTCTAATCTCGTTGCGGAAGCTGTTCCAATCGCTGGGATCAGACACCTTGATGGCTCTGCTGAACCCTCTCATGAAACACCCTTGTGCGGCATTTGCTGACTCAACTCCCTTACGGGCCCTCACTTCCTGGAAGAGATAATCTGCTGAGGCTTTGATAGTGTTGAGATCGCTTATTTTCGTTAGGTCAACGGCATAGTTGGTTTTAGCAATACCCGAACGATCACAAACAGTATAGTAAAACGCAGCATTCCCTGTTTGTGCCATTTGTGCAGCGAGGTCTTCACTTGCATCAAACTTGCGCATGGCGTTGTGGAATCGTTGCTGGGGATGATAGTTGTATCGTGCAGAAACGCGACCGTACACTTTCCAAAACTGTTTCTTGGAAAAGTGCTGTACGCTGGCGACCCAATCTCGAGTGATATTGGCATAGCGAAAGTTGGAGAGTTCCCGCGGTTTGCCCATAAACAGCAGAAAATTCATCACGGCAACCAGACAGTCCATCATTCGGCTAGGCTGAGGTTCCCAGTCAAAGTTGGTCTCATCATGGTCTTTCTTGATTTCGTAATGGTCCATCTTGAAAGGAAAGACACATGCAGGTAGGAAAAAAACAAAGTGAATGAACCGCTTTTCGAAATATAACAAGTTGGATGCGGAGCCTGATTGAGTTCTGTGAGGGAAGACGAATTACAAAGGGTTTCCCGGAAGACAACTTTTAGTCTATAAGTATTGACGGGAGACCTCATGAGTTCTCCCCTGGAAGAGCCCCTAGGACGCTTTATCACAATTCACCTCTAACGAATAAAGTCCCAAAGGATGCAGTTCCAAATGGAAAGAAAAGCATGACGCAATCTGAGGAATGCTGTAAGCCCAGCATCCAGAAATGTACACAGAATTGCGGTGTCGTAATATCCCTAGTACTGTGTCACACGCGCAGCAACCTTACATTTACAGAATAATATTCTGTTTTCTGGACTGTTGTTGGTCTTTGTCTACCGGCTGACGGGGACATACGCGCCGTGACAGCGGTGACATTAACAGGTTTTGGGGAAAACCGTAATGTTACTGAAAAGGGCTTGGCGGAGTTCAGTGCAGTGCAAAAATTGCAGATGTCTGCACTACTGCCGAAAATGTCTGCACCATAGTGCGGACAATAATCAAGTCAACAATTTTACTGTAATTACAATGGCTGACAGTCGCTGTAGCAGCCGATAGACAAGCATATTGTCGCCTCGATCCCATCGTGCAGACACGCTGTGCGTCGTGCGATATGAGGCCCTCGGCAAGCCTCGGTGCTCATATCTGCACTCGGCGCGTGTCTGCACTCGAATCGAGGCGACAACCCCTACTTGCATCCCGGTGCCTCGCCTTGCTGGATGTCGTCAAGAGGCCGGCCTTCCCTCCAAGCCACACTCAACCCACAGTCCAGTCCCCGCATATCGCCTCTACGCCGCCTTCAACATGACAATGCCCCCGTCTCTCTATCACGGTGGCCTGTGCCTCCTCCTCCACACTCACGCTCTTGTCATGTAAAGGGCGGCTCAGCATGAGCCCCGCGCTGCTAAACAATCGTAACAGCCACTTCCCACACCTCCTCGTTTTTGGCTTTGGCGTTTGCACAGCACTCATATTTGAATGTCCCGGGATGCCCTGTATAATAATGCGCCCACAAATTGTGCTACCTTTTTGAGAATCCGTACGCCCACTGTCACTCCTCTCGCCCCACCACGGTGAATGCCCTTCGACTCTTGAGGCACCAGTATGTTGCATCTCCTCGTCTCCGGTTAAAGCATGCACACAGGCACACACATGACCATACCAGGCCGTGCCCCATAAAAATTACGTCATCTAAAACCAACGGTAAGCCTCTACAAGTTTGGTCATCAGAAATCTGTCAGCGAACACTGTTGTATAAAAGTCCTTACAGTCTAGATGTCCTGAGCTGTAAACTTATTCCAGAGGGCATTCACTGAAGATTTGTGCAAACTCGGCCTTGCCGGTTGTTCCATTCATCGTTGGCCGTCGTTATGTCATCAACCAGGACAAACTGCTGTAGCACGTGCCTGTTGTACATGTGTATAGGGCCGTCGGCGACCTACATACATATATATATGTATAGCCCTTAACCCTCCTACAATAAAGCCAGAACTCCTTGACCTCTTCTTTCTCTAGAGACGCGTCTCCTTTCTTCCTAACTCACAGGTCCTCGACCGTGAGGTGCCACACTCCTCCTCTGTATCCACTCCATCATTCTTTCCTGTTATCCAATGACGGTAACAGTGGTGCTCTAGTACTCAAGATGATAAAAACTTTTTCTTTTTTTAAACTCGAGACTCACAGCTACACTTATGTAGACTTACGTACTGCAGAGTGGCTACGACTCAACATATACAAACATTACAAAGGTGTGCTCACCTTCGACGATTGGCAGGCCCAAACGGACATCACCACATCTGATATCGTAAGCCTGTATGCGTCTCTGCGGGATTCCCGTTCGGGACCTGTCACAACCTGTAACGACATTTAGCCGAATGGCATGCGTCATTTCAACATTCCCAGATCCTATGTTGATATGGTTGTCCATGCGGAAATCACACACCGCTTGAAGTCGTCGAACGTTTTGTACTTGAGTGTCTGGGATAAACCCTCCTAGCAAGCACGCCTCATAAATTCTCTATTAGATTCAGCCCTGGGTATCGGGCAGGCCAGTCCATGACGACATATTCTTCCATCTCAATCCATTGTTTGGCTACAAGAATTCGGTCTAAGAGTGTGGATTTCTTACTTGCTGTTCAGTGCTGTACCATTCCCTGACTTTCATTGCTGTCCTTTCGGGTACAGGGGGCCCTACCTATTAGCAGAGCCCCGTACCCTATAAAGAACGTTGTTCCTCCGGGACGGTATGATACATGTTGAAATGGAGGTTCTGAGAGATGGGGGGGAAGGTCAGTGTGTAAGCTGACAAAAAAACTTCCAGAACTAACCGAAAAAGGCAGACACGTCCGTGATGGGGCACGTCGAATAAAGAGTGACAGCATTCAGGGCCATTCCATTCATCGTGATTGGCAATCATGCAATCACGCAATCGCGCGATCACTACATTAATTTAACGTCGTTCTGCATCGTTCCTTTCTCAAACGTGTGCTACTTGTAGCTGTAAGCACATTTCCACGGCTCTGGAAGGGCAAAGGTTTCAAAGGAGGTAATGATGGCACGGCAAAGAGAGTAGATCGGATCTACTAGATCCTGCTTTCTGGCTTTCTCACATGTGCAACCCTGGGCTGCAGAAGCAGCGCGTTGATTATCATTTCGAAATGTACGAATATTTGAATGGGGTTTAAATCTTCTAGAATTGCAAGGAGCATTACAGAAAGTTGTTGCACAAGATTAATTTTAAGTCGATTGTTTATTTCTTTAATGAGCATGACCATTTCTTAGGAAACGTAATATAAACACCCAACCACAAGGGAGCAGGCACCATTTATTGACGTGATTGCGTGATTGCGTGATTGCCAATCACGATGAATGGAATGGCCCTCAGATATGTGGGAAAGACCTGAAACGGTACACAGTAGCCAACGAAACGAGGCGGTCTCTAGCCTGGTCATCCACAGTACATCGGAAATATTGTATATTTTATGGGGTTCTTTCGGAGGTTCTCTTATTCGCAACAACGAAAATTGATGTTCGCCTTACCCCCTGGAAGAACTCCATTTCAAAGCGATTTGGCGCTCAAACCTTCCCACCCGATATTATTCGTTCACCATTCAGAAAATTTTGCTTGGTGCATTGATACATGCATATTGATACATACATACCTATAGCCATTTCTATACAGTATCTCTCGAACAATAAGCAGACGAAAAAGACGTAGAAAAATGAGCATCTACATGCCCTGAATATACAGAATGCCTCTTCTTTGTAGTCATAGCCCAGGGCATCTTATGGTGTTGTTGTGTGAACTTAATGTCTTTATCTCAGTTTTTCACTATGTTTCCGGAAGGAGTTTGTTTTGCGACGGTGTCACAGCTTCGAATAGATGGCCATACTTAACTTGAATGTTCTCTCACTTCTGAAACTCTATTTCGTACGATATTTTGACTATGCACAGCTTCAAATAGATGGCCGTACTTAGTTTGAATGTTCTTTCACTTCTGCCATTCCATTATGTACGATCTTTTGACTATCTACAGCCCCGGCTTGTACACAGACTTTTACACTCTGCGTCGGTTTAATCTCTCCTTGCGACGTCGGAAATA